AAGAAAAAAGTTCGACTAGCTCCGGTAGCCTACACTGTCAATGCAACAGGTGGGGTTTACAATTTAGAGCCGAAAAACACATATCCAGCCTGTTAAGGTAAGCAAATGACCTGATTGGCTAGATTCAATTAGTCATGCACGGATTTAGCCTTATCTTATCTGATGCAATCCGTGACGCACACAAACCCAATATTTTTCCCTTCCAATTACCCTTCAATTCTATTTCTCCCCCAACAAATTTTTGCATCTTATCTTTTGAGGCAGTCACATCAAAATCCAGATGGATATGACCTGTCCATTGACATTGGCATGATCAACGAGACCGCTGCCTCTAGTGATGCATCGTGCGACAGTTTAACGAGTCTGCCGAGGGATCGTTCCACTGCTCGCGACGATTGACAAATCATAAAAAATATTCGCAAATTGGAAGATACAGGGTTTCTAATCTTTACACATTTTTTTCATTACAATTTTAAAACATTTAGATCGTAATAAAGCATCATATGAAAGTGATTCCTTACCAGAAACTATGCTTTCCCTATCATTGTTATTATTTTTTTCTTTCTTGTGCTGCAGGGTAATGCATTAAACTAAACCAAATTTTAAGTAACATGCATTAGTAATTTTATACTATAAGGGAAATACCTGCATAAGTCCACAGAACTCTTGAGTATTCCGCACGATATTGGCATCGAGATAACCATATCTTCAAAACATAGGACACCGAGATAATCATGTATAATGTTGATGGAGATTGGAGAGTGACCTATTCAATACAAGGAGAGATGATTGTAACAGATACAACTTACTAAAAGTTAGGACTTTTGGTCTTTGTTTTTTCAGATAATTTATGAATCTTATAACTATTTCCGTCGTTTACAGGGAATACACAAATCAAAATATAAGGTAAAAAATTAAAATTATGATTTAAAAACTTATAATTTATACTTGAGTTGAGTAACAAAAACCGAAAACTAATACTCAAACCTTTTGTGAACTAGTGGCACGTAATATTCTTTATACCCGACAAAGAAAACATGAGAAAAATCAGTACTCACTTATACCATAGAATCAAACCTTGTTAAGGTTGCCTTGTACAAACTCAAATAGGCTTTAACACATCCCTAATCATTATTAGAACTACATTCCTGAAAAATATTTATGTCAAGAGAACGCAATTCAAACTCATTTATAAAATATTTTAATTTTATTTTATCAGATCAAATTAATAATATTGAACACCCATTTATAATCTATTAAAACTGTTTTCTATTGTCGTTCGAGTTAAGTTCACAAAAATATTCATGTTGAGAGAAAATGATCTTAATTTTTTTTATAAGATATTTTAATTTTACTTAGTTGAGTTAAGAAAATCGAATAGTATGTTTCATCGAATGGTGTCATATACTTATTTATAAGGGTACTATATATCATCATCTTTAATCATCATTAGATGATTAAAGAAAATATTCATGTAAGCTAAAGATGATCTGAACTTATTTCTAGAGTATTTGAATCCTAATTAATTTGATCAAGTATTATTTGACACTCATTACAAGGTACTATCACCATCCCCAATCACCCTAAGGGTGCTAGACACACGAATAGATCAAATCGGAATAACTGCACAACAAGGATGCATATCCCATGGCCCTTTTTTTTTTGTTTTAATGTGGGTGCTGCAGAAAAATGCAGCCATTAACCTTTTAATGGCAGGTGTGTTGGAGCTGCTTTTTCCTAGAATTGAAGCTTGTTGATTTTCTTTGGGGCTTTTGCCCCGTTGCTAACCGGATAAGAGGAAATAAACAAAAGAAAGGCTTTAAAACCTATCTAACAAAACCTAAACCACTATCAAAAGATATTCAAATAAAAAGGTAGAGGGTCACAAAGTCAGAAAAGAGTACCTATTTGCTTTCTTTAGCATGTCAGTTTCGCACATTGTGGGTGTTGAATATGCACCGTGTCGCATGTCAGCCTGGGAGATGTTTGCGTCCACCTTATCAGTTCACTTCTTCCCCACCTGGCTTGAAGAAACTGTTAGCCTATAATCTGCTGTAATCTTCTAGTTGCTAAAATCAAGTTGTTTTTTTCAAATATATATATATATATATATATATATATATGTGTATGCATGCTTAATGCAAAGTTCATTTTGAATCCAAATCCTCTGTCCCATCAAGTGTCTATTTTTTAATTACTGATTAATACATGTTTAATTTTAATTTTTTCCCTTCTTTCTCTCTCATATTTTTCTCCTGTTTCTCTATCTTCCAGATCCCAATCTTAACCGGTCTCCGGTGATGCAACTCCTGCTACAGCAGCCTCCTCTACCCACTCCTTGCTGTGATCCTCACGCCGATCGTCCTAATCATCCGACAGGAAAACTACCAACCCCTTTTTCTTGAAAGCCAACTACCCTGTAATCGTGGACGTTCACTCCAAGAAACTTTTATAACTCATGATAAGCATATCTTAAACAAAGCAACTTTGCCTATCAATTCCGTAAGAAGCTAAAGCAGACACTGAAATAACATACGAAATATTTGTCTTGCCCATAAAAAGATGGAAAAGGATGATTCTAACAGCTTTGACCAGAGGCCAACTATCTTGGTCACCAATGACGATGGAATTACGCACCAGACTTGCAAGCCGTGATTCATCTGCTTTCCCTGCTGGAACAACAACATATGGGGAAGACTGCAACAAGAAGTAGATGAAGAAAGAAGTTTACTTGGTAATCTTCCGGCAATTAAAGACCATCTGCCATTAGAGAAAGAAGAAAAAAATCAGTAATAAATATAAAAATGTGGAAATTTATGAAAGATGAGTCAAAAAATGGGGTCAGAGGATTTGAATTGGTTAAAAATTCCTTTTTAATTTTTTACCAAGCCGCCATCAAATTCATTAAATAAATGCTTGAGAAAATCAAGCAAAAGTAAGTCTTGCATATAGATGCCTTCAAGCATTGTTAAGAGAGCGCCAAAACAAAGTTCCAACTATACCGTACAAGAGGTCTTTAACCTCCAATATGTTTTGTATTAATTCCAGCAGAGATACAAAATGCTGATGAAGTCTTTAACCTCCAACAATGGCAGAAGATTTGTTGCAGTAGAACACCGTCCGCATGTAACATCATTCACTACCAGAATATCATTGTTTCTCTGCAGAAGAACATAATGAATTATCCTGCTATTTACCATCCCTGCAAAATTGAGGTCAACCAGAAGAATATAAACACGCCTCATACAAAACAATTATAAGTAGTTGAAAGATTGTAGCCCAGGAGCACGTTAAACTAATCCCATACACCGAGGCACGTTAATTTTTCCTTCCTTGATATCGATTTCCAAGGATTCATCTTTTTCATTATTTTTTAATTCATTTGAAAGGAAACATTTTAAACTTTTTATCTAAGCTTCAAAATGGAAAAAGATCATAACATGAGGGTAAGGATGGGAAGGGTTTGGTCGGAAAATTTTGTACTAGTGAAGAACATATAGTTATGATCACAAAAGGTTATATTTCTGCTTTCAACCGATCAAAATTATAATGGTTTATATGGATGGCTTCGCCTCAACATTGACCAAGCATATAAACCAGGTATCGGGTAGAGACAATCCCGATGTAAAAATTGACTGGCGTCTCTTCAACCAGGGTTGCCACTGTAGCTGCCGGCAACCAGAAACTTAAATGCCAGGATAAAAAGGCCTTATTCAGAGCAGGCATAGCTTAAAATATCCACCTGTAGACACCAATCTTCAACCAATTAATTAACACCACAGCTTCAACGCTTTTTTTTTTTTTTTTGAAAAGTAGCTCTAATTGATCACCTCTTCGACATGCCACTTCAAGTCTTAAGCTTGACTGCAAAAGACTCTCATGGCATAAGCGATGGTAAGAGGAGTGAAGTCTGTACAATTACGCAGAGAAGGCGGTAACCAAGTCTAATTAGTGGCTTCACTAAGTAAGGCCTAAAAACCACAGCTTCAACGCTTAATTTGCATAAGATAATTTTTTTCTCCCTTGTTTGCGGTGTAAACAAGACTGACACCAAAAAATCAAAGGGAAATCTCACAATCTAGCAAGAATTGAACCTCGAAATATGGTTCTTATTTCAGGGACAGAGAAAGAGAGAGGGATAGATGGTCATACCGAGCTAATCTTAACTTATAAACATGAGAAGTAATTTCCAAGCCTCCTTTTTTGACTAAGAGCAAGTGATAGCTTGTTTTCTTTTTAAAACAAAGTAATGCATTTTCCCGTTGGCAATAGGAGTTGTGGGACCAGCATTTTTGCTCCTAACAAAAGAAGACGTGAACAGAACAAAACCAGGCTTGAAGCCATGGAGCACATGATAGTATTTAAAGTGTACAAATGACACATCACACACGTTACCCAGATATGTCACCCCAGATATTGAACAGATTAAACCAAAGACCATAAAAACTCTAGGTTTAGACCTTCGAGTCCCTGTACATATTAGTCAAAGCTCGTTTAAGTTTTAAAATTGAAACGAAGCACACGCGGTCCTATGGTCCATATACTGCAACAAAAGCAAACATAAACATCATACAAAGCACTGCGCCACTTATTAACTTCATTCCAAAATAAGGTCATTCACTTATTCTCCGATTCAAAGGAGACCCAGCTTGAGCATCAGAAAAGCTTCAATTTCCTTCATTTTCAGAAGCTCATTCATTCCCGTAAGCAGGTTATCCATCACTTCACTCCTTCTCATAATCATCTGCGCAAATTCTAACTCGATCAGATTAACTGCTTGTTGCACCGCCATTAGAGACTCAGCCGAGTCCCTCATTTGCACTTTCAGGTTTGCCAATTCGGTTTTCGTCAGCTTAACCTGCTGCGGCCTGGATTGGAGGCGCAGCTTCTTTCCAACATCTTTGGGGCTGCTCCCGTTAATTTGTCTGCAGAGGCCTGCAAATAAATTTGAGTTAGACAGAAGAAATAATTGCTTCAGTAAAGAATAGTGTTAACGAATATTTAAACAACAAATTTTTATAAACTTGATGGATTTGTATGATAAATTGTTAAACAGTAAACAATTGCCACTTTATTTGGTTTTTTGTTACCAAAATAAAAAGTAACATGCCTTTGTCTTGGTGAGCCAAAAACATACAAATAGGAGTTATACAGCATCGATTGACCATGTTTAGTAGGTAGCCTAGTACCACAAAAATGAATATTAATTTGTAACTATAAATAAAGTATCCACAAAACTCAAAATTTATTAGTCATTCTTGAGAGAAGACAAAGACATCAAAATTATTTTGGTCACCAATTAAGACCATGCTATTTTCCCCCTCAAGGATGTGACCTGCTGTTTGTTCCTGGTCAAAGTTATATTTTACGATTAATTAAAAACTCAAAGAGATATTTATTTAATTAAGGGACATTATGGAGTAGATATATTCTTCAGAAGTTTGTAATTTGACTTTTTGAAAATTAAAGAAAAAATTGGAAATGTTATTTACAAAATTACAAATGTATAATATTTATAAGCATTCTTAAACAATTCACAAAAATTTAAATTAGTATTTATGTTTTTATTATATTCAATCAATTTTTTATATATTTTTATTTTAAATTAAATAAACTTTTATAATTAATGGTTAACTAAATGTTTTTAGTCAAAACACCACATACAATTTTATATCACATGGTACTAGTGTGATATACTGACATGTCATAGTGGATAATTACGTATTATATTAATGTAGTATAATGATACGATTATATGATATTTTTACTTTGTCTCAGTATTATGTCAATATTACGTGGATAGAAAAATAATAAATTTATTAATTATAAGAGTTTATTTAATTAAAAATTAAAGTAAATGAATTTGATTGGACAACATAAAAGATTAAAAATTTATTAAAAAATTTTAAATAGTTTAAAAAGTTTTAAACCAATATAAGATTTAAAATGTTCATCATAAAGTTGAACCATATCAAATCTAGGTATTTAATCCCTAATATCATCAAGTTCTTAAGGTGTTTGAGGAAGAAATTAATCTTACCAAGACTGCCGGTTTCGCTGCTTGAAAATGAAAAGTTCTTGCTGCCATGGTTCCCGTATGACCTGAAAGTAGATTGGAGTCACAGAAATGCAAATCGATGTAGAAAAAATACACGTTTTTATTTTCTTCAATTGATTTAAGAAAAATAATTATAAAACTAGGTAGTTTATGCTTTAATTGCTTGTGATTTATTGTAAAAATTAATTAAGTATGATCCGTGTTGTAAACTAACAATTCCTTTTCCATTTAAGTTAAGATTTCATTTAGAATTCAATTTAAATTAAGATATTCAACTCATTAGTTACCAGTTACTAGAGTGGTGCCCTGCTTTTAGTGGGTGTCAACTTTTACAATCAAGGAATAATAATTCTTTATATATACAACTAGAGTAACTCGATAAAGTAAAAAAATAAACCAAACTTCATGTTATGATGGGACAAGCTGTATTGGAGGTCAACCCTTTTGTGTTCATGTAGTGTTACGTAGGAATTAAGTTTAATTAGTCTAGAGATAGTGTTAGCCGATCCTTCTTTTGTACAGGGGATGTTTACCCCTTTGTTGTGCTGCCAAATACCTTTCTGATCAGCTGATCCTTTTGTAAATGTGCTAAGTTTCCTCAAAAGCTAGTCCTTTATGCCAAGAGGAGTCTTTTACCAATATGGTTAAAGACTTGTTATGGCATGCCAATGTTTAGTCCAGTAATAAAATCCAACTTTGAAGAAAAGAAAAAGATAAAAGTAAGGTTTTCAATGGCTCAAACCCGTAGGAATGTTGCAGTTGTTGTAATTGTGGCGTGCTTCTGTATGGGCTTTGGGTTATGTTATTGGTCTATTATTGTTTCGGACAAGAGTTTAAAAATTGCGCTTTTAATTATTTTATTACAGAAACAAAAGCAAACATAAACTTCATAAAACCCAAGTCAAAGTCTCTAGTGCTTAGGCATTTATTAACCATACATTAAGCTGAAGTACATTCTAATTTTTGGTTCTAATATAAGGTCAATTCACTTATTCTCCCATTCAAAGGAAACCGAGCTTAAGCATCAGCAAAGTTTCAATTCCCTTCATTTTCAAAAACTTATTCTTTCTCCTTATCAGGTTATCCATCAGCCCATTTCTTCTCCTGATGAGCAGTGCGAATTCTGACTGGGTCAGATCAGCTGCTTCTCTTGCTGCCATTAGTGACTCAGCCAAGTTCCTCATCTGCACTTTCAACTTGGGAAATTCGGCTTCCATCACCTCAACCTGCAGGAGCCTGGATTGGAGGCGCAGCTTCTTTCGAGCAACTCTGGGGTTCTCCCCTTTAACTTGTTTGCAAACGGCCAACAATTAAAAATTTGAGTGAGACAGAAAACATATTTGCTTCAGTAAAGAATTTTGACTAAAGGAATAATTAAAACTAAATAATTACTTTATTGAGTTTTCTATTACTAAAATAAAAAAAGTAAAATATTCTCACTTTTTTAACTTTTAATTATAATTTTATGTAATGTTATTAATTTTTAAAATGACACTCATCAGATATGATACTCTCTTAAAATAAATTTTTTAAATGTATACAATTATATTTTTTAAATTAATAAAAAAATTATTTTTTTAATATTATCACATTATCAAACAAATGAAAATATTAATGATTAATTACTTTTTTACAAAAATATTAATAATTAACTAATAGTTGGATTTATGTGTTTAATGAAAAATATTTTTTTAGAGTTTAAAAATTAATAAATTTGTATGAAATTATAATTAAAAATTAATAGTAAATATATTTTACTCAAAATAAACTTTAACTTAAAAAAGAATAAGAAAATTCTTTTGAGATACACATCCTCCATTGACCATGTTTAGAAGGCAGTTTAGTTACCACAAATATAAATATTAATATTTAACTATAAATAAAGTATCAACAAAACTCGAAGTTTAGTGGTCATTCTTTGAGAAAAGACAAAAGACATCAAGATTATTTTGGGCCCCAAGACCACGCTATTTGACCCCTCACGGATGTGACCTGCTGTTTGTTCCTACTTAACAAAGTCCTCTTTTACAATTAATTAAAAACTAAAGAGATATTTATTAAATTAAGGATGATTGTGGAGTATATATAGAAACAAGTAATCCTTATAGAAAATATCAGTAATTTTTTAGGATGTTGGACAAAGAAATTAATCTTACCTAGACTGCTGGTTTCCCTGCTCGAAAATGGAAAGCTCGTCCTGCCTTGATTCCCATATGACCTGAAAGCAGTTTGGAGTTATAGAATTGCAAATCAATGGAGAAAAGCACATGTCTTTTATTTTCTTCAATTGATTTGAGAAAAATAATTATAATAAGAAGATAGTTTGGGCATTTAACCTCTTGTGATTTATTATAAAAATTAATTAAGTAGGACCCACATTGGAAATTAATAATTTTTTTCCATAAATTTAGTTAAATTGAGATTTCCAAGGTGATACGTAATCACAACTCACAAGGAAGTGATGTAATATCAACTCAAATGTAGGGAAACAGGGTTAACACAAAAATGAAAAAAGAGATCTCACTCCTTCCTTAATTGTTTCTTTTGAAGACAATGTCTGCTTTATATTTTATAAAAAAATGTATTATATCGCATTAAAAGAGAAAGAAAAAATAAAATTATATGGCTTGGGATGGGAGTAAGGACGCGACGAACATTCCCCTGGCTCTGCTGTTCATAGTGTGGAATTTGGCGGCAAAGATCGCCATCCATTCCTGATTCCAACTTGGCCGGCGGGGATCGATTAAAGTTCTCCAGGGAGACAAGTCCGGTGATTTCGGTTTAATCTTTGTTTAAAGTTTTAACTGAACTTAACCTGGTCGGGTTTTGAACTGTTGAAAACACCAAAAACCCAGACCTATCCGACCAGGAGGCCAGAGCTCCACAGGCTTTGGTATCATCCAAAAGAATAATAATAATAATAATAAATCAATGAACCAAAGTAAACATTGGTTGTTGTCTTTTTGCAGTTTCCCTTGGACTAACCTTTTCCCTGCCTTGCCTCTTTGCTCCTCGCTTATTATTTCCATCTCTGATTGCAGCGTTTTCATATCTGCTCTTTTCTGGGGAAAGAATAAACGAAGATGTGAGAAGTTTACAAGAATTCAACAGTTGAACAAATTTTATAAAGTAAATGGGATTTTTCAAGTACCCTCTGCTTGACGTGCCCTGACTTTGCATGAATCTTTGCAATCCCTCTCGTCATAGAAGCTTTCCAATTAAAACGATGTGCTCTATTTTTTATAGGCGGAAAGTAATGATGCCGTTAGCTCATTTGCTTTGAAAAGTAACCTAGGCTCGGGTCATTATCAATTCCTTGGTATCATGGCATTAGGTTATTATCTCACAATTTATTTTTTTCAACATTGATATTTTTACCTTTTCTAAGTTAAACACAGTATATTTATTTGGAAAGTACTGCTAGTAAAAAAAGTATTAAATATAATTTATATAAATACCCAATAAACATTATTTCAAGTTCAATTGGAAATGTTCAACTACATGACCATCTACACCTTTTCATGTATCAAAGGCAAGAATAATTTTTCAAATGTCACTTAATTGGTGCAATAAAGGTAGAGCCATAGAAGTTTAGAGGTCACAAAACCCTTTTACCATATTTTTATAAAGAAACGTAAATTAAGCCGAACTAAGCTTATAAGGAGGTTAAATTACTTTGCAAATTAAAAATAAAGGACATGGCCAAATTCTGAATGCTATTAGTATATTTTTTTTCGTTTTCAGTGCACTACAATAACAGCATATTATCATTAGATTCTAATGTCACATTAAAATTTACTTCACATAATATTTTGAATAATAATTTTTGTGAAATATATATATATATGCTAACTAATTGGACAAAGTTTAGATTCTCGTTGTCTCCTTTTATAAGAATAAACCAAATCAATTTCTTTAAAACATTAGAGGAAAAAAAACTCCATTATTAGTATATAGCTTAACTCATTCATGTTTTGTCTGTAGTGAAAAGGGCTGCAAAACCAAAGAATTCATGATCTTTGTAATTGCCCTCACTATAAAACAATTTCAACATGGTTTAAAATCAATTAAATTCTTATTTGGTGAATTATGAAAATTCGAATTTGGCTAATTATATTGTTGCTCTTCTTCTAAGGGCTCATATATAGTCTGTTCAAATCCATTTTTTCTTCTTTTTCTCCCTTAATCTTCTGCAATAATTTACAAAAGAAGGAAAAGGTTAATCATGTGTTCTTCTTCTTCTTCTTCTTCTTCTTTTGGGGGGAGGTCAGCAAGGAAGAATTTATAGATTAAGAAATGAATCAATGATGTGGATTTATGCTTAGCAACTTGCTTCTTTTTCTTTTTTTGGTTTTACCTTTTTTTTATTGGCAGGAAGGAAAATGCAATAGGATAAATTAACCAACAGATTGAAGATTCTAGGACACATTAATCAATGCTGTCAATCCATCGTGTGAATCGTTGAAGCCTTGCATAAATTCTATGAAAATCGAAGTAAAGGTCCATATATCGTGCGATCACTAGCTGTAAGTTCCTACAAATTGAGTGACTGCCAACAAAGAGATTATGGTTAGCAGTTGGATTGAGGCTGAAAGCTTGACTTTATCACGAACGGCCTATCATCGCTCGATCACTCGCTTCAAGTCTGTACAAATCTTACGATTGCCGACGAACATCATGGACATTGACATGGCAGGGTCTGGAGAGCGAAAGTTTTGTCTTCATCATAAGCAACATGTATCAATGATGAAGTGATGATGGGATCAGATGGAAAATAGCTTAAGTTAAACATAAGCTTCGTTAAAGAAAAACAAAAGACAACATACATCATCGCACGAACCCTCACACAAATCGAGCGATGGTTGACAATGATAACAACGACACCATCGAGATTAATGCCGATTGAAAATAACCCTATGAAAGTGATCAACGCACAATGGTTCATCGATAGTGATATTTTAGTTGACTTCAACACTTCCATTTGAAAAGAGAAAGGGCTTCACTTAAGTTTCAGGATTAGTCAAAAGATTTAGGCCCAGCAGCAAGGCCAGAATTTTCAGAAACCAGGGAATCATAAATTAGAGAACTTCACGCCTACGCCCTTTGCAAACTTATCGGCCATTTCTCATATCATGGGGGAAAAATTCATTCATTTCAGAATTAAATTTGATCTAAGAATAACTTTTTTTCCTTTGAATATAATCTAAAAAAGATAAACTATATATAGATATTGTATAGTCTCAAGATCAATAGAAGATATATCATATCCCAGAAATAATTATGAATTACAGTTAATGAAAAATCAGGGTTTTGAATTCAAGACTTAAATAAGCGTAAAATATAAGTTTCATTTTATGCTTCAGCACATAACACAAATTTGCTTCAGCACATAAGTTTCATTTTATGGTCCAAGCCCTGCCATCGGTCCTACCTTAAGGACCATGATGGGGCTTACAGGACTGATCAATATTGCCCACATATTCAAACGGAGACAGCCTCCGGTAAGAAGCAACAACCCGATATATTAGTGGCAAAAGAAGTGGAAGAAAAAGCTTTGCCTTATCACTTGAAAGTTGAAACACTTAAGCTTCAACCTTCAATTTGTAAAACCTTTCTCCTTTTTCTTTTTACTTATTGATAAATGAATGAAATTAAAAAAAAAAAAAGGAAGAGAGAGTGAAGCTGACATCTTCGTAAAACCTTTTTTGGGTATTGATAAATGAATGAAATTGAAAACAAAAAAAGGATGAGAGAGTGAAACTGACACTGTAGCATATATCTCACCATATGTATAAACGAAAGTTGAAAGATTCTAGCGTCTAAATCATCGGCTTAAGACTCTGATAAAAAAGAAAAAGGAAAAGAAAAGAGAGAGAGAGAGAGAGAGAGAGAGAGAGAGGAGGATGCCAGGAATGAGATCATGGGGGTTTCGAGGAAGCTGCCAGGAAGGAGGTTTATTTATAGGCGGTGACTCGGGGCTCCTAATAAAATATTCTTGGGGAAATAACAAGTTCAACTCAGGGGGCAAGTTTGGTGAAAACTGAAAATGTGGGTCTTCATTCTTGACTTTTGATCCTCTAATTTAACAGTAGTTAATGTACAAGTTTGTGATTGAATTGGGATCTCCTTGTCCTTTATGTTTTCATCTAAAAAAACATAAAAGAGAGGTATGATTGAGTGCAGGGCCTACCCATCGATTGGGCCAGCTAAAAAATAAAGATGGTTAATTGGTTATGCATGGGAACCAGAGATATCCATAATTTTCTATCTATAGAGTACTGGTGATAATACTTCCCCCAAAAGAAAAAAAAAACTGGTGATAATTTGCTGTAGGCCGGCTGCCGGTTCTTTGAATGTCCAAGAACACTTTCAAGTTAGCTTCTGTCAACTAAGGTAATATTCAAATCTTTGCAGTTTTGCTACATCAGGACACAGTTTTACTATTTTTTATTTTGAGTTCAAGCTGAAGTTTGCCTGCCTGTGGAACGTTGCTACAATTCCTGATATTAGATGGTTTTTCATATGGGGAAGGTGAAATTCAAAAGGACTTAAGGCATTAATTAGCTTAAATTGGACTAGTAGGTGAAACAGACCCATCACTGGATACCCTCCAGAGTTTTAACTGTTTTAGAGATTTGACTAGTTTCATTAAGTGAAAAAACCAGTTACAGTTTCAACTTCTTGTGACTACCATTCAACCTGGCTGCAGAAAGAAGAAACAAAGAAGATTTTTTATATGCATGCCATGCGATCGGATAAGAATCCATGTGGTAAAAGATTAAATAGAATTTTGCACTGTCTTATTCATGTGTATATTGACAGATTTCAATATTATCAGATCAAATAGCCCATGAAAGCCATATAATTTCCAAGCTGTGATGCCTAGTTGAATGCCCTATAGAATTGAAGAAGCATTGCTGGCATGTTACTACATTTAATTGTAGTAAAGCGGCACAAGTTTGATTACAATTGCAGCCGGTTGCCCACAGCAGCTTTAGAATTACGCTAATGACAATGAAGTGGCTCATTTTAAATTCATAATCACACTTAAGAAAGAAAGGAAATATTCAATAATATGTGAAAAATTACTAGTTTGATTTCAAAACCTACTGATACAAGCAATAAGCATAGGGAGAGAGGGAATTCAATGATCAGAGGATTGCTAATCAAAGAATGATTCACCCAAAAACATGAAAGAAAAAGGAAATGATTGTAGACTTGGTCTACCTTCTGGTTTTTGAGGCCAAAATATAAATGAAATTCAATGACTCCAACCTGTAAATTAGCATGCTCTTACTCAAGATTTCACAACCCTCAACAAAGTGATAAAACTAGGAAGAGTTTAAGCATAATCACAGTTCATGGTATCAAATTTGTAAAATATCTAGACTAATAACATAAAACTGGCTATCCCAAGTTCCAATGAACCCTTACTTGTGCTTCTTTCAATTAGTAAAATTGTTAAGAAAGTTCCAATCCTATATGCCAGAACTAAATAAATTCACAAATTGCTTAGTAAGACAAAGCTAAGAAGTGAGCTGTTATATGGGAAATGCTGCAAAAATACATACAGATATTTAACTCGTGGATTGGCATCTCGTTAATACCACCCCTCTCTCCCCCCGCCCCCTCCCCCAACTATAATTTGCATATTCGTTAAGTGCGTCCAAATCGACTGACACATATAAATATATATAATATATATATATAATTACTTAATTTCTTTAAGTTCAATTCTATCAAATATCTTTTTCTTTGAGGTAATACTATCAACTACCTTAATAAAGAAAAGTGGTTTCTAAACACAATGCCTGTGTATACCAAGTTCCCAGCTGTTTTCTTGATGCACTTGAAGTTATTGTGAACAGTTTTGATGAACTTGGTGTGATTCCTGCATTGCCATTCTGCCACTAATAGTCTTTAGCAAAGCAATTAAGTCAAAGATGTTTAGCTGCTCTTTATACCGGGCAATGAGCAAACCTTGTTTTTCCAATGCAAACACTATAGAATTCTCCTAAACCTGCATTCTATTTCTTCATTGTTGTTCAATACAAGGCAACCATGTTGAGCCAATTATAACAATGATTAAGAAAAGAATATGTTCAAGGTTCTAAGTAGTTATAGTTCACCTGTTTCTTCCACCTACTTAAAAAGGGAATTTGCACCAACTATCAATATGCACCAAAGACAGTTCTTCTATATCCTCATCATTTCTTGACTGCGCTCATAATTGACAAGGGAGTTTCCATGCCAAAGAAAACGCTCAAACTTTGC